TTTTTTTTAAGGATTTATTTATTTATACAAGCACTGGGGTACAAGCCAGAGGTGTAGGAGGGTGAGAGAATTCACCAGAGACAGAGCAGGGAGCAGAAAAGGCAGAAGGACCGAAATACACTGCCGAGGGGAGCAGAGGACAAGACAGAAGAGGTCTGCTGTGCCATGTGGGAATCTCCCTGGCTGGCCAGGAATCAAACCAGCACTGCAGAGGCTGCGGACAGCTTCACAGCGCTGCACTCAATCCGCTGTGCCACAAGGGAGGCCTGATATAGTGTTTATAAATATAGTCACCATACTCTACATGACACCCTCATGACATTTTTTTTTTATACTTTTTGACTCGCTTTACCCATTTTGCCTACCTCCTCATTCCCCACTTGTAGGAACCACTTATCTGTTCTCTTTATCTATGACCTTCTTTTATTTTTTTGAGATGTCACATATAAGTGAGCATATGCCATATATAACAAATAAATTTATTAATCTCAGTCACACAAGAAACTGGTATGGGATGCAGTTTGCAGGCAAAGGACTTAAGTTGCAAAGACTGTTAATCATGATGTCTAAATATTGCACAGTTTTTCATGTACATTAACCATTTTGCCTAGAGGAATTTCCAATTTGGGACAAAAATCCAGACCAGCATTCTGTGCATGGCTATATGTCCTCTCTCCCAATAATAAAAATTCATTTAAATAGCCATAGAGTCTGTAATTTTATTGTACTCAATAATTGTTTTCAAAAAATAATGTAATTGTTGATAATAACAACTTATCTTCTTTTGGGGACTTGTAAACTTTCCACAGGCCTTTATTTTCACAGCAGGTGGATGTAGCAGGATTTGCTCTCTCTGTTATATGAAGTAGCCCAGACTTAATCTATAAGGAGACTAAAAAGATTTGCTTTGGTGCCCCCGGGCACATTGCAAGGGACTACATTGACTCTCATCCCTCGGTATCTATTTCCTTTTGGTGAAATAAATGGCATGCCCCCTGATGTGTCCTTTGCATTCCTTTTCTTGAGACTTCATGTCAGATTTCCTAAACATGCTCTTGTTTTGTCATTAGGAATGAAAACGATTAAAGTAAAGACCTGGGTTTTAAAGAAGTGGCTAACTTTGCTCCACTATAATTGTTTTGGATAGCTCAGATATTAAAGCATTTCTGACAACAAGACTAAATCAAGAGTAATAACTTGTGAACCTTACAGAAATCTAAATCAAGGGAGTGGAGGTGAGATTCTAAGGAAACGCCATTGTTCTTTTAAATACTTGAATTGTTATTCATAAGACCCAAGAGTGAATAGAGAGTAGATAATTTAGAATAGGAGGTATCTTCTAATGGAATGACAGGAGTATTTATAACTATACTGATTGATTGTGAAGCATGCACTCATATACTTTGAAAGTGTTTGCTCTGTTGCAAGCTTCATTCCAACTGCAGAATTTTGCTTTTTTATTTTTTTGGGAGGGCAGAGGTGGGTGTTTCCCTTCTTGAACAGTTTTTCTTTGTACTTATTGGTCAGTGAGACTCAGTTATCAAACTGCATGTAGGAGATTTTGTTTGGAAACTACTTTCCAGGAGCAAACTTCAACAGGTTCAACTGGAGTTGGACACTGAATAGGATGAGAGGTTGTGGATCAGAGGATGAGAGGTTGACAAGGTCAAGGTTGCAGGTTCACTTTCTCTGTGGGTTACTCAGTGCAACTGGCCATAACCTGTGCACTGTCAGCTGCTTTACAAATCTGTTCCTTCAGCTATTTGCCAACTATGCATGAAGTTTCAGCCTGCAAAGGGTTCTGAACGTGTGGCATGTTATCATAAATTCCTCATGCCAGAAACAAGATTCGCATTGGTGACTTAATGGTGGCACCTTTTTGGCCAGTTGACTTGCAAATACTCTTTCTCCCTTTCTTTCCTTCTCATGACCCTCTTATTACTTACAGTGCTTCTCTCTCAACTGCTGGGTTTCAGTCCCTTCCTGCTGCCTTGCCACCTGCCTTTTCAGCTCTCTTACTTCAGTATGTCCCCTCTCAGTGGCTTCCTGGTCCCACATCCAAAAATAAAGTACTGTGTTCTGTTCTATCCTCTCTTACCCCATTCTCAGTGATTTTTCATGAATGTCAATCCAACAACAAAAAATCATACCACCTTGTTAAAATCTAGTTGTGATTCTCTGTTCTCTAGATACAATGCTGCAATGCCTATACTCATGGGAATGGATTTTTACTGATGAAAGTTGAGTATGGAAAATATTTGGTGGTAAGAAGACCTGCATGAATTCCAGGTCTCATGCCCTGTATTTTTTGGGAAAATTCCCTGAGGTCTTTTGAATCCATCTATTGTAGCCTTGTATTGTTTGTAAATACTAAAGGAAAAGACTAAGGAGGATAACATTTGTGAATGCTTTCCCAATTATTGCCTATTGACTACTATAGAACTAAATAAGTGCTCTCTGCTATTGAATGCAAGAAAACAGAAAGAAAGGTACCCTACATTTAATTAAATGCATTTTGTTCAGAAAGTAGTTAAAAGGAAATGAATTCTCAGTGTTCTCTGAAGGTTTTTTTCTTTTCAAGCTACTTGTAACAGCAGCTGAATGTCTTCAACTGCCCTTGAGTATAGTGTCACTAATGGGTCACACTTTCCTGTTAGTACTGTCAAGGTGTAGATTATGCAACTGTCATTTAGAGGCAGTAACTAAAGGATTTAGGGAGGAAATGGAAGAAAACATTCTGAAGGTGTTTTTTTTTTAATCAAGTAGAAAATTATAGGGGTTGATGCTTTTTTGCCAAGTCAAATTTGTTAGTATAAAATAGTTGCAGTACATCTTAGGGTTAGGAGAAAAGACCTGGAATAGCAAGGAGTCTTTAAAAATTATCCTTATATTTTATTTGTTTCCATAAACCAAATTTTAAAACTAAATGTTTAGGAGACTTGTGTTTTTGAAAGAATGTTTATAGCATGACCTCTCGTTTCTGTGAAGGCATGGGAAGAATATCACACATAAATCCATCAAACGGAGTTAGAAAATACATTAAAAATGATAGACTAATGAACATGAAAATTATATTTAATCCAGGGGTGGGTCTCTAGTAATATACCAAGAACCAGAAAGTTCAAGGAATGCAAGTTTCCCCTCTGTTCTTGACAGTTACCAGGGTGAATAATTACCTGTAAACTACCAATACCAGAGAATTTATAAAACAGTCCTAGGAGAAAGAGCCAGTGATGTACACATCTTTAGTCCAATCCAGTTGTACCTCTTTAATAGGGCACAGTGGCCATCAATATCCATATTCATGAATCTGCTCTTTTAATCCTCAATGGAAGTCATATGTCCTTCAGTATAAATTTAGAATGAGATATTTATTTAATGATTGACTTATTCCTATGGAATGCCTTACACACTATAAAAGGATTTGAGGAACCTTACAATAAAAGCTGAGATGCAGCAGTGCAGCAAGAAAATGAACTCGGAAAGAAAGATCAGAAACCACAGAGATCAGAAACTTTCCTGTGTCATAGATTCATTTATCAAAAAAAAGTATAATATTGTAAATAGGTACAACAGTTGCCAGCAACCTTGAAATCTATCCAAGCCCCCTGTCTATAAGTGTTTTTGAATCCCAGGTCAAGAACCTTTTCATATAGAGAAAGCAAATCCTGAGGTAAAATAGTTACTACACTTGAGCATTGCCTTTAGCTCCTAGTTTCCTGTCAACTGAGGTTAAAAGATAAACATACTGGGTTACAGAGATGGCAACATCTAAAAAAAGAAGCAGATCAGTTCACAAAATAATCAGGGAAACGTGTAATTTTTAAATGGCAGTGTTTATACAGTTTAAAAGGATTATTTAATAAAGGGTAATCAAGTAATATAAAGGAATGTAGCATAATTTGATGAAATTCTTTGAAAATAAGCAATTGGAGGTAGAATATCTGCTAATTGTATTGACTAGCATATTAAATTAGTCACATAGTCTCATTTCCAGCTCTTTTGAAAAAGAGGGAATTTGCTGTATACTTTCTTTAATGGTAGATTTTACTAACCTAATATTATTTGATTAAACCTGATACTAGTATAATATATTCCCATGAGTGTATACCAGCTTAGCAACTAGGGAGGCCTAAGGGTATAAAAAGAAATCAAACTGTGATTAAACACCTGCTATTAATAGGCCATGCCATGGAAAACTGGCATGTAGATAATGGCAAATAATCACTGTAGGTGCCCTCTGCTCCCAACCCGGACATTTACTTTCTTCAAGGTAAATAAATAACACGGTGGTTCCTGTGACAATCACAGAGTTAGTATCGGGTAGGGCTTGTGAGCAGTCTCTGGAATCAGATGCTTGGTTTTCCAGCAATTATTAACTGTGTGACCATGGGCAAAAGTCATTGCACTTTTCTGAGTCTCAGTTTTCTCATCTGTAAAATAAGAATAAAAAAGTGTCAGTGTCAGGGCTTTTCCTAGTCTGTACCTGGGTCCATGGAGGTTTCAGTTTTGTGGGAGTCTTATGTCTATAAATTGCAAGTCACCTAAAATTAACATATGTGTGTCACTGGTGCAATCAATCTCTCACAATCCTGAGAAGCAGTTACTACATGGCTTGCAGTAGTCATCCTCTTGCCAGGCTGCTCTGCTGAAATTAAGACAGTTGGGAGGAGCCCAGGATCTCCCCATGGGTCTGAGTGCTGGAGCCATGCGGTGGATGGATTGAGCCCCAAGCAGAGGTTACCATACAAGGTCAGAAATATCCCACAGGCACATGGGTAGAGCAGGGATCCTGTTTACGCAGGTTTAAGGTGGCTCTTCGTTCATCTGATGGGATCACTGGGATAATTGAGGTAGCTCATGTTATCTATTAAAAAAGAAAACATTTGATCCCTTGCCTGGCTCATCTTAAGTCCTCAATACAAGTTCACTATGATTGTTGTGTTTCCCATTTTTAGCAATGCTCATTACATCTCATGCCCAATTTGGTTTTCTTTCAGTGGATGGCTGCATTGACTGGTCAGTGGATCTCAAGACATACATGGCTTTGGCAGGTGAACCTGTTCGAGTGAAATGTGCCCTTTTCTACAGTTATATTCGCACCAACTATAGCATGGCCCAGAGCACTGGACTCAGGCTTATGTGGTACAAAAACAAAGGTGATTTGGAAGAGCCTATCATCTTTTCAGAGGTCAGGATGAGCAAAGAGGAAGATTCAATATGGTTTCATTCAGCAGAAGCACAAGACAGTGGATTCTACACGTGTGTGTTAAGGTGAGTGTTGCGTGGAAATTTTATTTGCACAGCTGTATTTTGATTTGGTTTCATGTGCCTCTCATATGCAGTGTTTGTGAAAGTTGCACTGCATGTGGAGCTTTAGTAAATTCAATTCTAATTATTTGTTGGAAATACATAGCAAATTCTTATCAAGTTTTCATAAGATGGGACTCCCACTATTCTGTGTGCTCATTTAATTTAGAAAATTTTGTGATTCATTTATTCCCCAACTCCACCCTTACCCCAGGGTATTTTGAGTGTTAACAGTTGTTTTTGGGTAGAGCCAGTTGGCTCAATCATCTTGATATCTGGCCATGAAAATGACCTAAAGTATCACTTAGGCCAAGGTCTGTCCTTGTCGATGGAAAAAATCTCAAATGCTGCTTGGAGATCTTTTTAGCAAATGCAGTACTGTTGAAATTCTTCATAGATTTGCTTTGTGAATGTTGAATCCACTGTATTTAAATATTGAACATGGAACCCTGTAGATACACAGTCATCCTGAGTTCCTGGGTACCATTCAGGGAAGGTATCATAGGTATTATTGCTGTTGATAAGAAATTTACAGTGAAAAGCAAATCTGTTTTATCCTCAGGGATTCCACAATATGTCCTTCCTTCCCCCTCCACCTCAGTGCTAGGATCTAGGGTCTTGCAGCTCAGATAAAGGACTGCATTAGATATTGAAGTAGGTGTCTAAATGACCTTTAAACTACCTTTCAATTCTGCCATTTTGGGAGTCTCTGATCTGGCTCACCAGGGACCTATACTCTATTATTTGATTTTAACTTCTTGAAAATGCAGACCCTTCCTATTTTTGTCTCCTGTGGATGGACTTTGTCTGATGCCAAAGCTGTGTCACCTCTTCCTCAAAATCACTTGCAGGCCCCTGGTGAGGCCTCATTGTTCAAAAGGCCAAGAGAACAAGGTGGTGTATAAATAGAGAATCTTCTTGATGCTCTAAGAATCACGTGTGTGTGTGTGTGTGTGTGTGTGTGTGTGTGTGTGAGAGAGAGAAGTGTTGGGGAAGTAAATGGTGAGTTTAGTCCTTATGGTGGGACAAAACTCCAGGATATTGACAGAAATAGCAATCATTTGGTGATAACCAATATCGTCTCCTACTTGGGCAGCTCTTGGCAAAGTTGACAAGTGGTATAATTCACCTTCAGCAACTCTGTATTCTTATAGGCTGCTACTACTCTTTCTCAACTCATCCCCTCTATCCATCCTCATGAAGTCCTGCTAGTCTAAAATAGATCTTTTTCTCTCCCTACTCCATTTTCTTTTTTGTGTGTTTTGTTTTCACAAATTAAAAATTTTATTTGCAAAGCTTCAGCCCACTGTGTTATCAATTACTGAATCTATAATTGCTCACTTCCCCTGCCCTGCTTATGTCCCCAGCCCTGCCAAGCTCTCTTCTCTCCCTCTACCTTCATTCCCATGCTCTAAGCAGTGTTATCAGCTTAGTGTGTATCCTTTGCATACCTTCTCCTTCCTCTTTTTTTTTTTTTTTTTTTTTTTTTTGTGGGACCCTCTCAGTGGCCGGGGAACTGACTGGTGGCGCTGCAGAGGCTGTGGGCAGCCTCACAGCCCAGCGCTCAACCGCTGCGCCACCAGGGGAGGCCCTCCCTCCTCTTTTAATTGTATAAACATATGCCTGGGGATGTTTTCTCCTCATTGTTAACATCAGGAAAGGAGACGTCTATATTTATCTGCATTTTGTTTTCAGAGTAAAAATACATAGTGGAACTTGTTCCAAGTCAATTGATAGCTCACTCATCCTTTTAAGTATATAATATTGTCTTTTGCTTAACTCACAATTTAGTCAGTCGTTTCTCATTGATGTGTGTGCACTTTGTCTAGTGTTTGTCCATGCAAAGGAAGCTATAGTTAATTAAAAAAAACCTTCCCCCTCCCTCTTGAGTAATACAGTTGATTTCCAAGCCCTGATAATCACTACAATTCTCTGAAACCGACAAAGTGAATAAATCATTGCCTTGAAAATATTTAACATTTTCCCTAAACTACTTTAAATATATTTTCTTTGCAGATACAACATCAGATGCATTTGCTAACAACAACAAAAAAGTGCCCCCTCCATGCTTTTGCATAAGCTTTTAAATTGTTGATCAGTTTTGGATTTACAGAATTATAACAGAAAAAATATAGAGTTCCTATGTGCCCCCTATACTCATTTCTCCCTACGATTGACATCTTGCTTAACTATGAAGTATATGTTGTAATTAAAGAACCCATTGTGGCACATGATTATTAACTAAAGTCCATATTTTATTTATATTTCCTTTAATTTACCTTAATGCCCTTCTTCTGTTCCAGGATCCCATTGGGGATACTGCATTGCATTTTGTTGTGATGTCTCCTAAAACTCCTTTCGGATTTCTCAGACTTTCCTTGTTCCTGATGACCTTGATGTTTTTTGTACTACTGTAGAAAATCCCTTGATTTGGATTTATCTATTTTTTTTTCATGATTATACTGGGTTGGTGTGTTTTTAGGGAGGAAGATCACAGAGGGAAAATAACATTCTCATCCCCTCATATTAAGGGTACAAAGTACCATCATGACTTATCGCTGTTTATAAAGACCTTGATCACCTGTCTCAGGGTAATGTGGACTTTCTCCCTTTACATACTGTTCTCTTTGGATGAATGTATTAGTATTCACAGTACATACTTGAGGAATGGACAGCTATGCGCCATCTGATTAAGAGTGTAGAATCTGCATAAAATGATTTGGAATTCTTTTGCATGGCTCTTGGTCTCTTCTCTGTCATTCATTCAATCTTTTAGTTACGTCATTATGGACGTGCAGATATTTAATTATGTATTGTGTCATAACCCAATAATACTTTATTACCTGACTCATATTATTTCATCTTTGTCTATTGTAAGCTCTTTTGGTTGGAACATGTGTCTCTTTGACATAATCTCATCATTGTGGTGTTTGCTTTATTTTTCTTGCATACAAGCATTAAAAGAAGCTCCAGGCTTATGTTGTTTTCCTACTCCAGTCCTAGAATCAACCATTTTTTCCTAAGGAGACCTGATTCCTTTCCATGGAAGGAATCTAAGACTGGGGTACTAGATTTGCTTGTTGCTACTAGAGTGTCTTTGTTTCTAGGTCCTGTCACCTGATAACCTATAAACTTTTAAACAAATCCTAGTACTATTTCATGAACATATGGGATTGCCTTTTGCCTCTGAAATCCTTTCCTATAGGTGGCCCTCTCTTTCAACTACATATCAAATTGGTCTTGTTTGTATCTGTTAGAGATATTACCTAAATCAGTGGTTTTCAACTCACTTCTAGATTAGTAGAAGAGAAAGGGATGGTATTTCACTGAGCAGAGGCTTAGATTCAAACAAAACTGATGACATCCTTTATTCAAACAGCATGTCTTAGGGAGAGATTGGCGTATGTGGAACTTTTGACTATTATTCCTCATGTATGCCTCGGTAAGAAAAAGAACTTGGGGAATCCCTGTTCTAAAGGAAGCGGCAGTCTTTTGTCAACTCACAGATACAGAAATCTCTTCCAGAATGACAGAAGTTAAAGAATTAGCCTTTGGCTGTGAATAATAGGCATGTATTTCAGATCTAGAAGTAGCCACTGATTCCAAATATGTGCTGAGTGAGAAATTCAGTTTGTATAAGCAATTTTATACAATTGACAAGAGTGTGGTATTTTTTAATGTAAATTTTATTTTTTATATTCCCCATACAATTACAACCCCCTTATTTTGACCCCAATCCCTCCTTTCCCCGCCCCCCACCCCCCATAGAGTGTCTCTGCTTCATAGTTGTTTGTTCATTTCGATATTTTCTTTCTTACAGTTATTCTTTTTCTTGGTCCCTTGTTTAAGTTTTCTAGATTCCTGCTATGAGTGAGACCATCCGGTATTTTTCTTTTTCTTTCTGGCTTATTTTGCTGAGCATGATCCCTTCCAGCTCCATCCATGTTGCTGCAAATTGCATGTGTTTATCTTTTTTGAATGCTGAGTAATATTCCATGGTGTATATGTACCACATCTTCTTGATCCAGTCATCTATTTTGGGGCATTTGGGTTGTTTCCAAAGCTTAGTGATTGTAAATAGTGCTGCTATGAACATAGGGGTGCAGGTGCTCTTTGGCATTGATGTTTCTGTGTCCTCTGGGTAAATACCTAGGAGTGGAATTGCTGGATCATATGGAAGAAGAGCATGGTATTTATTATGAAAAATGCTTTGGATTGGGCAATGTTCACCTGAAACCTCCAATTTGATACAACTTTAAAGTAATTATGAATGATTTTTCCTTGCTTTATTGAGCTCATTGTAATTACTCTATTTCAGTGTGTTTAAAAAGAGGCAGATGTGAAATATTTAGTAAATACTCTCCACCCACTTGAATCATAGCAAGAAAAGCTTACTGTCTGTGACCTTTCAGTAGCCAATTACTCATTTTTGTGTTTTTCTTTGGCCAGTCTCAAGAGTGATTTGATGAATTTCTCAGCATGTTAGTGGGTTAGTAATAGAGGAATGATGAAGTGAGTCATCATTTGAGAGGCAGAGCCAATCAAGAATTACTGACTTACCTCCTTCCCACCTGAATCTTCAATGGAGGCACTTAGTAAGATAAAAATGATGAGAGTAATCTTATTTGACAAAAATCTCGCATATCACTTTCAAAACAACGGTAGCAAGGGGTGTCTTAAGGCGTGCATGAAGAGAGATGTATCCATGTAATTCTGAATTGAATTCACAGTTATTGAACAAAATGATTACCTATAACTGAACATCTATTGAAACCTGTGTGTTTGGGGCTAAAAATGGGCACGTATAGAGAATCAACTAAAGGTTGAAAACCACTCTGATCCTTTTTCTCTCAAATGAAATAAACACATAAGTAACTACCTTCTTAAATGGAAATATAATCCAACAATATAATTTTGTTTTTTTTAATAATCCTTGAAATAAGTGAGGTTCCCAAAATCTGTAC